AAGGCCGAGATGAGCAAGATTAGAAGTTGTGATAGAGGTATTTTACCCGAAGAGATTGCACAGTCAAGGTGTACTTTGAAGACATGCAAATTTTTCTAAGTATAGAATCATACAAAAGCAGAAAAAAGAAGACATTCATTCATCAGAGTATTACTAAAAATGCATTTAAAGAAGAAAGAAGGTACTTCGGCCTGAATATTGAAAAATAAATTCAGACTACAAAAATGGCACGTCGGCCGGATTAAAAGCATACAAAGAAGGACAAAGTACAAGGTACAAGGTACAAGGAGTAAAAGAAGGAAACAAAACTAACTCGGCATCAATGGCAGGATATAGAATTATCACCTGAACCTGAAAATGATGTTCCCATAAAGGGTGAGCCACAGCCCAGTAGAAATATACTAAACCAAATATAAGCATTGAATAAAGCATTAGTATTTAATAGATAGTTAACCAAGATAATCAATTACATCATTATACAGTCTCATGACACTAATGTCTAAAACACGTTTTACTTTCCAGCATTATCAATATGGCTCAGAACCTGGCCAAACTTACAACAGTGAACTATATATATATCATATTCACATTATTCCAATGTCAACAAACAATTGAGACTCAGGCTCAAATCAAAACACTTCATACTTCCAGTTTGATACACATTTTAGTGTTGTATCAATAAAACACTTCAATAAAAATAAGCACACATAAAAGTGATGCTAATGGAGTCCATCCCCTGTCTCCTCCCAAACAAAATCCGGTTTAGAGGTCCATCCCCTATCTTCCCCTAAACCGTGGAGTACATCCCCTATCTCCTCCCAAACAAAACAATGTATGCAAACACATAACATATACAACACACAATCAATACACATAATGTCTGTATTAATTCAGCAGTCAAAATTGATGACTTAATCAATGATTAGTTTCAGTTATCCCTAATCCACATGCAGTGTCTACAACAAGCATGACTATCCTCCACCGATAGCCCAAAACAGTTATTTCTAGACTTGGAAAATAAATATATCAACAATTCAATAAGCGAGTGAACTAAATTATCCAACTACACCATTTAATCAATGAATTCCTCAATTTCATGAATTTAATAAAATTCCCCAATTTCCTTAAATTAATTATTCAAATTAATTTACTAAAACAACTAGGGTTTTTCCCCAAATTACCAAAGTACTCCCAACATATCAAAATACCAAAACTTAGAACAAAACTTATAGGATGGAGTAGGAAATCCCTACCTCGAAGAAAATAACCCGAATGGAGAAGACGGAGATGAAGACCAAAGACCAACGTGCTCCAAATCCCAAGTTTCTCAGATTAAAACGAAGCCCTCAACCCACTCTAACTTTTAAATAAAGGACCAAGGTTAGATACTCACCCTAGGTAGATCAATTCTTAGAGAGAAGACAAGTTTAGAGAGAGAAAAAGAGAAAGAAACCCTCAAGGGACGGTTTTTAAAAGTTAAGAAAGGAAAAGTAGGTCAAAAAGTGATCCAAAAAGTGAAATCACGGACTGATGTAGTCGATTCCCCGCTCGAGCGTGGAAAACCCCGCTCGAGCGTCAGACACAGACTCACGCTCGAGCGTGAAAAGAGACGCTCGAGCGTCGATTGCACACTTCCAGAAGTTTTGCAGGCGATGGTACACGCTCGAGCGTCAAACTATCCGCTCGAGCGGAGGGATAAAATCAAGAGATCACGCTCGAGCGTAAAAACTGCCGCTCGAGCGGACGAACTGCAGAGTAAAGTACTGGGAGATGGAAAATCACGCTCGAGCGTCAAAACTACCGCTCGAGCGGAGAAGCAACAACGAAGAGCCCGCTCGAGCGTAAAAACTTCCGCTCGAGCGTGAAGGCCAAAATCTGGGCATCACCTATTGGCATCTAAATTCAACCAACCTGTACCAGACCCGCCCAACACAATCTATACTTCAAATACAAAGAGATTAAAGGACAACAACAACCAATAAATAATGACAGGATCCACTGAACCTAAGTCCGGATACAATAATCTAAAGAGAAAAGACCGGGGTCGCTATAAGGATTGATAAAAAAAGCATCAATCTGGTCTTCTACGGAGATCAAAGGAGGAATCTCATTTTTTTTTTCTCTGTACATTCCTTAACGATGCCGTCTCATATCGAAAGTTTGAATGAGTGATCGTGGATATATAAGACACCATTAGCTTAAAGTTTTGGATCATGTTAGTAGGTCCACTGATTACTTGGGCCAACAAGTAGTGGATTGTTACAAATGATTTCAAAACCGAACTATATATGTGGGTCACTATTCATGAACCCTTGGATTTATAAGTGACAGAGTTTAACTTTTGGGTCATATTAGTAAACCCACAAGTTACTTAGCCCAGCTGCCTACATGATTAGACTAAATTCATATGTCTCTTCAAATTGTCCTTAAAAAGAAAAAAAATCTGAGTTGTATGAAGAAGCAAAGTAATTAGACTGGCCAGCATAAAAGAAGAAAAATCCTAGTCGTGACAAGAAACAAAGTAATTAGACTAGCTGTGTAATTTATACCTAAAAAAATTGTATATATTGCACTGAAAGTCATATAAAGTCAACAATATTAAAATATAAATAAATAAAAAATCTCTTATTGATATTGTCCTAAAATAGAAGAAAAGTCCTAGTCGTGATAAGAAGCAAAGTAGAGAGACGTGCGTAATTTACACCTCAAAAAATTGGATAGATTGCATTGAAAAGTCTCATAAAGTCAATAAAAATTTTAAATAATAAAAAAAATTCTTATTGACATTTTCCGGGAGGCTGCCCTCCTGACAACTCCCATGTTAATAATGATTCTTTGTCCTTCTTAGGATGGTTTGTGATGATCTAAATAAATATATTTTTTGATTTTTTATGAAATATGAATTGAGTATAGATTGGATTTGAAGTGATGTGATAGAGAGGTAATGTGACTTACATAAAATGATGTGATTTCAATAGAATAGTACTTTTTAACTTTTTTAAATTATGACAAACAAGAACTAGGCAAAAAGTCATTATAAAATTCAAAAAGTTTTTACTATTCACATTTTTTTGGCAGGAAAACTGCAACACTGGTCAGATGCTAAAAAGACCGAAATGCCCCTATTTTTTGCCCACAAATTGAAGTCAAGTGTGGACAAGCAACCTGTACAAAAAAATAAAAAACAAAACAAAACAAAACAAAACACTTTGTACATATCTTCTCTGGACCCCCACATCACATGTATCTTGTCACGTAACGCACAGTTAGTACCAATAGGGGCGTAGAGGCAAACAGGCCATTTACATATTTATTACAATATTATAATACATATTTTTGGTTTTTGTCCACAAATTGAAGTCAAGTGTGGACAAGCAACTTGTACAAAAAAAAAAACAAAAAACAAAGCACTTTGTACATATCTTCTCTGGACCCCTACCTCACATGTATCTTGTCACGTAACGCACAGTCAGGACCAATAGGGGAGTAGGGGCAAACAGGTCATTTATATATTTATTACAATATTATAATACATATTTTTTTTGTAAAAAATTAAAAAGTTACGCAAAAAATACACTTATATAGGTCATTCATATAAAACTTTTTCCCTATAAAACTTTTTTAACCAAAAAATCAAAAAATACATCATCCCAAACAACTCCTTTATATATTGGTCTATGAACAAGATTTCATTGTGTGATATTATTAATCAATCAAGAACAATAGAAAATGAGAAGCATTCCAGAGGTTCGACTTGGTTCAACTAATGCGACAATTCCAGTAGTAGGCTTCGGAACGGCTGCTTGGCCTTTTGTTGCATCAGAAACCATGAAAGAATCCATTTTGAATGCACTAAAACTCGGGTATAGGCACTTTGATGCTGCTGCAGTTTACCAGTCAGAGCAAACCCTTGGTGAAGCCATAACACAAGCTCTACAGCTCGGCCTCATTCAATCTCGCACTGAGCTTTTCATCACATCAAAGCTTTGGTGCTCCGATGCACACCCTGACCGTGTCCTCCCAGCATTGCAAAATACTTTGCAGTAAGATAGATAATTTTCATTCATATACTAATAATTGACAAAGTTATACATATTACTTGATTTTTATTATGTTTCATTACATGTATTTTAGGAGACTTGGGTTGGAGTATTTAGATCTATATCTCATTCACTTCCCAATCAGCTTGAAATTAGGGGGCTACGAGGTGCCTTTCAGTAATAAGGACCTTCTTCCCATGGACTTCAAGGCTGTTTGGGAAGCTATGGAGGAGTGTCATAAACTCGGCCTCGCCAAGCATATAGGAGTTAGCAACTTCTCTTGCAAAAAGATTCAACAGTTACTTCTCACATCAAAGATCCCTCCAGCTGTCAATCAAGTGAGTGCCCTATTTTTGAAAGATGAAGTCCATCATATTATGATGTAGATCCAACTACTTAATTCATCTCTTTAAATATGCTACCGAAATTTTTGCTATGTTTTAGAAATTTTATTTTTGCAGCCGTTTTTTTTTTTTTTTTCATCGTCAAAAAGAAAGTAAGATTGTGTTTGGTTATGTGTTCCAAACACATTTCCACCCACTCATTTGAATATGATGTTTGTTTTGAGTTTTCAAATTATAATTTCAAATCTACTTTTAAAAACTCCTTTCCAGGCTGGAAAATTTGGCTAACCCGGTCGTCCCCCGGACGTCCAACCGATTGACCAGAACAGTGTTCATTTTTTTTCCCTTGGACACCTGTTATTTTTATATTGTAAATAGAAAAATATTTTTAGAATTTTTTAAATTTTTATATGAGTTTTGAGTAGAATTTTGGATTGTGTGTTTAGTTATGAGTTGTAAATTTTTTAATCAAATAACTTTTTTAATTTCAAAAACTCAAAACTCCCTCCAAAACTCAATTCAGAACTCATAACCAAACAAAATTTCCACACTCAAATCATATTTTCAAAACTCACAAATTCAAAATACAACTCTATTTTCAAATCATATTTAAAAAATTTACCAAACGCTACCTAAAATTTTATTAAAAATAATTAAACATTACAAAGGAAGAGAGAGAAAGAGAAGAACAAAAATGATTGAGAGCTCTAATTTTGGGACTTTAAGAGGAGCTCTAATTGTGGGACACACCATGTGATGTGATATTTATGCTTACTTATTTGTGTTTTTTTTTTTTTTTAATATTTTTTTTCTATAGAACTCATATTAACTCTAATTTTAAAGCTCTTAATCACTGCTCTAACAAGAAATCCAATAACGTTGCCAAGTTGGCAACACAACATTCACAGTCGTACTTCAAACATCAATTATCTTTGCAGCTGCTGAATACAACATCAATAAAAAAAAGTTATTCTCTGGTTGCGAAGCAACATCTTTGATGTTTAATCACCTCTACTTTAGCTCTAAGAAACTAGAGCTTTTTTTTTTTTTTTTTAATCAGTAAAAAGAAATTTTATTGATGAAAATATTAAAGTACAAAGAGAACAATGATGCACAACAATAAAGAGATACAAGTGTAAAGAGCATCACAGTGAAACTTAAATAATCCCAATGAGGATGATACGAATAAACAAGCCCAATCATCTGGAAGCATTTGGTGAGAGACCAACTGAAACGGAAAAAAAAACAAACAAAAAGAAAAAACAGAGTAAACAAAAGCAACAGAGAACACAAGCATTAATTCACCCCCTATATCACCCACTACAAGTTCGCAACATCTACATAAGCTCCACTTGAGTTCCAACGACATATACTTGTGAACTCCCAAGTCATCCAAGCCCTTGTCATTTCTTCACCCCAACAACAGCAGCCATAGGATTCCAAGCTTAAGAAACCAACCTGCTACAGACAACACCAGCTCAGAAAACCCCTTATCCGCACCAGATTCAGCAACTCCTTTATGTGCATGCCTTATTTGATTCAGATTTGAAATGAAATCGTTAACTGATAAAACACCCCTTCAGTGTTGAACTTTACCCAGAAAGCAATCCTCGTTTTCACAAGTTCACACAATTCCTCCATATCAGGATGGCAGCCATTGAAAACACATTTATTCCTTACTTTCCATATTGACCAAAAAACTGCAAGTGGGATTGCTCGTCCATATTCCTTTCAAAATTTTGTTTTCCCATCTGTGTCCAGACCACCAATGCAATATTCCTTCCACTGAGCTAGGCATAGCCCATTAGATGCCCCACCAATTCAAAATTGCTGACCATACTCGCCAAATGGGTTGGCACATCAACAACATATGGTTCAAATCTTCAGACCCAGTCTTACAGAAAACACATTTGCATTTCCACCTAATACACCGATGTGACGCAGAAAAACAGAAGTTTTCAATTTCCCTTTCCAAGCTAACCAGCCCATAACTTAACTTTTGGAGGAGTTACATTTTTCCACAGCAAATCAGTAATAATTTTAATTGGGCCACAAGTAGAATCACACCAACTATATGCAGAGGAGATACTGCACTCACACCTGATGGTGAAGCCTTCCAGCTTAAACTGTCAACTTGCCCCAATCTAATATGTGGTATAACAGTTAAAAAGTTATAGAGCCTGGCACCTCCTCTTCTTCCCAAGCAAATAAACTCCTTCTGAAAGACAAACCCCAATCATAAGAATTCCCCCTTTTATCATGGAACCATTTAAGCTGTGTTTGGTTGGGGGATTTGGGAAATGATTTGAAAAGGGATTTGGAAAGGAAAAGGGAAAGGGAAAAGTTAAGTGAAATATGAATAAAATATACCTATATTTCACCTAGTTTCACGCCCATTTTCATTTTCCTTTCCAAATTCCTTCCCAAATTTCTCAAACGAGCACAGCATTAAGAGATCCCTCCTTCTCTGTTGACTAGCTATAGAGTCTTGGAAATTCATCTTTAAGAATTCGACTTCCACACCAATTGCCCAACCAAACTAGCTTCTTCTCTTCTAAGAAAGTAGCTTGAATTCAATCACCCCACAGTTTGTCATGTCACTTTAGAAGAAGAATTACCATTTTGAGAATTTTGCTTGCCTCCAGTACAAAAAAAATTCTCAAGTGTTTTGCAGAACTCAAGTGTTTTCTCCAATTTATCTACTTTCATTTGAGATGATTCTTTGATTTGTTAGCGTCTATTTTTCATTTATTTATTTGTAATTCCATTTCAAATATGGATCCTATATTTTGGGGTTAATTAATGTCATTTCTTGTAATAAAAATAAATAATAAAAAAAAACATGTGATTTTTTAAAAATCATACTAGTATGTTAACATGTATTATTGCATTGCGAATTGAATAATGAAGGTGGAGGTGAACCCAGTTTGGCAGCAAAAGAAGTTAAGGGAATTCTGCGAGAAAAAGGGTATCCATGTTACAGCATACTCACCTTTAGGTGCTAGAGGAGCCCTGTGGGGAACCAACCAAGTCATGGATTGTGAGACACTCAAAGAGATTGCTGATGCTAAAGGCAAGACTGTTGCTCAGGTAACATTTTATGTTTAGGAGATTTATGTGTAGGTCATAATATGTAAATTTATTGTTCAATGGGTCCTATGATAATTAATGGCATTTTTCATCAAACACTATCAAAAAAATGTCACTAATTATTAATTTAAATGTCACTAAATGTCAGAAAATTTTCAGTGACAGTTTAAAAATTTTGTCACAAGAAATGTCACCAATTATAAGTTTTAGCGACAGTTTAAAAAATATGACAAAAAAAGTCGCTAATTTTTAACTTTCAATGATAGTTTAATAAATTTGTCACAGAAAAAGTTACTAAGGCCAAGTTTGGCAAGTTACCAAAAAATTAAAAAGTCAAAAAGTTACTCAAAAAGTTAAAAAGTTATTACTATTCACCAAAAGTCAAAAATTACAACTGCAAAACTCTCAATCCTAATTTTTCCATACACACTAATTTATACAATTTTTTAATACACTACAATTTTTTCATATACATTTTTCTATAAAAAGTCAAAAAGTTAACCCAAACATCTATATTTTTTTCCTCAATTTTTTAGTCCAAAAAGACAAAAAGTACACTAATTTAAGACACCCCAAACAACCCATAATTGTAAGTTTTAATAACAATTTATAAAAATCGTGACAAAAAAAACTCACTAATTGTCAATTTTTAGCGATATGTGCAAAAAATCGTTACAAAAAATTATTTTTAGCAAGGATTTTATTATGACTTATTTTCAATAGGATTTTATGGAAATTAAGTTCAACACTATTAAGAACTACTAATAATTTATTCTTATTTTTAGTCAAATGCCTTGGGCTCTAATACCACATGTAAGAAATTATTGCAATGACAATATTAGCAAACAAAACGAGAGGATATGTTTACCACTCTTCCCATGTGTGATAGGTTACACAAGCTTATAACCAATATCTATAGGTGACTAGGTAATAACTATTGACCCAAATTTCAATCCAATTAGAACTCCACCTATCACAAGTCCTATTGGGCACACTCACTAAAATTCTAGGGAAAGTTACGGGCCAATCCTTTGGACCGGACTTAATTCTCATGAGGTACTGACTCAAAAAGATTTAGCACATCTTTCCATTTTACCCTTGACATTCAGTCCAAATAAAGAAATCAATCAACCATTCTACTTTCTCTCTCTCTCTCTCTCTCTCTCTCTCTCTCTTTCTCTGTCACAACTGTTCGAATCTCTCTCTCTTAACCAGCCACCGAAGACCACTTCTGACTGCCGGCGACCATCATCGACCTCTGATGACTCCTTTGGCCTTCATCTTTGACTGTCGACAGCCATTACTGACCTCCAACAACTACCTCCAAACTTTGATAATATTTTTTTGTGAGGCCATTTTCCATCTCCACCATGTCAATACCACCAGTACCTTCTCAAACAAGGTGGCAACATTAGATAAAAAGAAGAATAAGGATGAAGAAAATGAAGAAGAGAGATGAAGAATCCTTACTAGAAAATAATTCTTCACATTCGTAGATTAACACAAAGAATCAAAGACAACTCTAGTAAAAAAATTTATGATTGATACATTCAGTGATAAATTTAATCACTGTCTGCTTGTTAAAAATTACAAAATCTCATCATCATCATCACAAATCAACACAAGATTCAAAGACATATTCAATGATAAATTTATCATTGATTGTTTTTAAAAAATTACAAAAAGAAAATCTTATCATCATTGTCACAAATCAACACAAGATTCAAAGACATATTCAGCGTCAAATTTATCACTAATAGACACATTCACTGATAAATTTCTCACTGATTGTTTGTTAAAAAATTATAAAAAGAAAATCTCGTCATTATCGTCACAAATCAACACAAAGATTCAAAGACATATTCAGTGATAAATTTATCACTAATAGACACATTTACATAAATTTCTCACTGATTGTTAGTTACAAAATTATAAAAAGAAAATCTCGTAATCATCGTCACAAATCAACACAAAGATTTGAAGACATATTCAATGATAAATTTATCACTGATAGACACATTCATTGATAAATTTCTCACTGACTACTTGTTAAAAAATTACAAAAAGAAAATCTTATCATCATCGTAACAAATCAACACAAGATTCAAAGATATATATTAGTGATAAATTTATCACTGATATATTAAACCCTTGTTTGCAATAGATTTTGAGAGAAATAAAGAGAGAGGGAGGGAGGGAGGGAGAGACGAGATTTGGAAAATCAATGTTGCTTGTAGTTGTTTGAGGTCGATTTCACAGTAGAAACAACTAGATCAATGTAGATCTAGGACGGAGTATTTGGCGATGACATAGTGTAAATCGATGATGGCGAACATGGTTAGTAAACAGTGACGGTGAATTGGAGCTGGTGAAGTATAGATCGGCGACGGTGGATATGATTGGTGAACGATGGTGGTGGTAGTGGCCAACGAAGGTGGTGGTGGTCTGTAACAGACGACTGTGGTGGTGGTGGTGGTAGGTGGATGGCCATGGTCATGACAACGGTGGTGGTATTTTCTAGAAAGAGAGAAAGAAAGAGATATGGATTGAAAATCCAAACCCAAACTCACATCACAGTATTTTGATGGCAAAAAACAAACAGAACACGGCAAAAATAGGGGAAAACAAAAAAGGGGTAAAACGTTACAAAGAATAGAGCTCTAGAACTTATTGGAGCATAAGATCAATCTTTAGGACTAAGAGAGGAATAACTATAAAAAGCAGGACCGGCCAGTAAAAATCCCAAAATTGTACAACTATTAGTCTGTACTCTCTATAATACCTGGTCTAAAGGTCAAATCATAATCACTATGCAAATACTAAACCATGAGATCATAGGTGACAATTTTAGTAAGATCACCTTCATTGATTTGAGTTTTATTAAACAAAACAAAATATGAGTTATGAAATCCAAATTAGAATAATCTACAACTAATTCTTCTGTCATGTTTATTCTATTTAGAGTGTGAGTCTTCATATTATCTAAATGTTGCTACATTGATAGGTTTGCTTGAGATGGGTTTATGAGCAAGGAGTGAGCGTACTTGTGAAGAGCTTTAACAAAGAGCGGATCAAAGAAAATCTTGACATATTTGATTGGATGCTAAGTCCCGAAGAGTCTCAGAAGATTGACCGAATTCCACAACAAAGAGGGTATCTTGGACTCCAGTTCATATCCGACCAAGGCCCTTATAAATCTGTTGAGGAGTTTTGGGATGAAGAGATTTAATGTTTTATTAAAAGCTTCCTTCTAGTAATGAATAAGTTGGAGAGCGTGTTATAACTTGTTAAGGTTATAATTTGAAGAACAAATTTGTTGTTTTTGGCTTATTGTAACAGGACATTCTTAGTGCATGAAATTTCTATTACTGCAGATATGAGGGGGGTCAGATATATGTCCTCTTATTCCTCCTACGCAAAAGACTATTATATTATAAGTTCGTGTTCATCGATTATGTTTCTAGTGTGCCTTTTATTTATTCATTTTCTCCCAAACAAAATGATACTTTACGAGAAAAATTAATAAAGTAACAGAGATATCAAAAAGAATAATACCAAAATTATCTTCATCATGAGATTATATTTTAATTGTTAAATTCCTAAAGAAGTCAAAAATTGACATGTGGGTGGCAACATATTGACGCAATAGATATATCAAAATGAGTAATACCAAAAACATCATCGTCATGGGATTAATTTTAGTTGTTCAATTCCTAAAGAAATCAAAAATTGACCGGTGGGTGGCAACATATTATTAACTTCCCACTCGTTAACATCACTGAAAATGATACAAATTGTGTGAGTGATTTTCTGACCACACTGCCCGACTTAGTCTTCAGCTGGAGAACACTGGCAGAATAGATGGCACATTGCTGACCTGCAACAGAAAGAGAAGGCTCCGGCGGTGGTTCTTCCACCCGGAGGTACTCCGACGATCAAGTCAGTACTCAATATCTCTCAAAGATAATCAATCATCTATTCAACTCACAAGCTTGAGCATAAAAAACATACCTTAGACCCATGGGGGTGCTTCTCTTTTATAGCCAACATAAACCTAGTCCAAATAGAAACCTAACTTCTATGGACTCAGGATTACTGCTAATCTGGGACTCTCAGTGGGATTAGGATAAACTCTCTAAGAGTCTTATCTTTACCCAAACTGAAGTCTTCTCCCAATCTAGGACTCTTGTCCCTTATCCATGTTGAGTTCTCTCTTCATTCTAGGACTCTTGTCCCTTATCCACTTATCTCGGATTTCGATATCTTCGGAGATAACCTCGGCCTAACCGAGATGACCTCGGCATAACTACCACGACACGTGGAACCTCGGCTGACACGTCGGCGTCACCATGCCACATGTTGGTACTGAAAAAATATATCCCCACAACTGCCCCCTAGGTTCTATTACCTCGGTTGCAAAAAAAAAATAAAATTATGCACTGTTTCAGTCAATCAGCCGGACGATCGACTAGCCAAATTTTCCTACATTGGATAGAGTTTTCAAAAGTAAGTGTGGAATTAATTTTTTAAAACCATAAACAAATACCACGTTCAAAACAATACACCTCCTAGCCGAGGTTCTTGTTCCATTAATTCGTAAACTCCAAGAGCTTTGCAACTGCTCCACTCACATTCTTCGGTGGGTTTCCGATTTCCAGTTATCTATTTTACTCCGGCGATCTTCATATCAGCGTTCAAAACTCTTTTATTAAGCTCAATCTTTCATAACTCTTCTGAATCCGTTTACTTGCCCTCTATTGTCATATATTTTCGTCTGTTTTCAAGTTTTTGATTGTCTGAATGCCTGGCACTACCCTTGTCATATCCGCTTTCTGTTGCTAGCATCATGTCTGGGTCATTACTTTCTTGTTCTTCACATACTTGCTTAGTACCTGTGCACTTGGTTTTATTCTTGAACTTTGTCGTCTTCTTGACTATTTTTCTCTTTTTTCATTTAATCCTCTGGCTTTTTTTTCCTTTCTAGCTCTTTTGCTTAAATCCGTCATTGTTCCAAGCTTTCAAGCTTCTGCAACTGTCTTCATTCCTCTCCTTCGGTGAAGCTTACGTCATTCTGTCATTTTGTCAGACTTCGGCAATTCTCAATCCGGCTTCCCTCTTTCTGGTAAGCCACTTTTCCTCCTGGTTTTATTTCTTGTTGCTTTCCAAGAAGCTCTGCTTCATTGTTAATCACCATTGCTGTTTTACCCGTTGTTTCCAAATCATCTTCTTGAATACACAATGTTCACACATCTGTTGATTTCTGCCACTGTTCTTGGCTTGACACACCTGTGCAATCTTTTTGTCTTGATTTCCTGATAGCTTCATCACCATTTTTGATTTACGAATTACATTCTTGTTTCTGTTTTCTGTGTCTTTTCCCAGAGTTTTGCTTTCAATCCTTGCTTTCAAAACGCTGAGGTGCCAATCGCCGAGAAAAGCTTTGATCAAACTCTTCAGGAGATTGATGCTGAGCTCGTGGCTGAGAAGGCTACTGAGAAGTTCTTTTCAACTGTCTTCTGGGGGTGAGACACAACGTGCCGCTGATGCCGAGTAGTTTGCTTCTTTCTTGAAATTGATGCCGAGGTAACGGTAGAGAAGCTCTTCCAACTGACTGCCGAGGCTGAACCATCGTCGTCCGTCGAAGCAGATCAGTCTGACGTTTGTTGCTTTCAGTCCCTAGTTCTTTAAGGTCTTCATTTTTGTACTTGCCAACCTTCTCAGCTCTTAACAAGCTTGTTGGTCATCTCGGATGATCACATCTCGGAAACGTCTTTCAGTGTTATCTCGGCTATACCAAACTTGTAAATTGCTACAAATTTCAACAAGTGGTAGACTTCATAATCTTTGGTTAACTCATCTTGTAATGTGCTCAAAAATTTCAACAAGTATTATCATTCCTTCTTCCACTGCATTTGATAGCCATGTCGAGTAATTGACTTTTCTGATGGCCCTGGCCTCCAGAAGTCTGTCTACTTCTTCCTCTACTGCTTTGACGTGCATCAACGTCGGTCCTCTTGCTCGTTGGATTACAGGTTTGGCCGACCTGTCGACGTTCAGTTGGTGGCAAGTGACCTCGGGGTCAATGCCAGGCATTTCGTAAGGTGTCCAAGCAAATACCTCAATGTTTGCTCTCAAAAAAAGCTTCCAATTCTCTTTCTTCTTCTTCGGCTAAGCCTGAGCCGAGAAGAAAGAAACATTCTTCATCCCCCTCCTGGACGAGGAGTTTCTTCAGTGCCTCTTTACTTTTCTCGGCTGGCTCCTTACAGACATCATCTAGGACCTCTATGTTCTCGTTTTCAATCTCTGCCTTTTCTGGTTCTCGAATGCTGCAGGTGGATTTCATTGCTGCCATGGAGTAATTCTCCGTCTGTAGTTGATCCCTTCTGACTTCTTCAATCCCATGTTCTGTTGGGAACCGCAATAGTTGATGCAATGTTGAGGGACCTGTCCCCATTGCATGCAACCATGATCTTCCCAAGATTTGTAAGGAGATGGAGTGTCGATGATGGTGAATTCTGTTGTGATCTTTCTGGTGCCAGCCTGCACCTCCGAGCTTACTGCTCTTAGTGGCCATGTCGGAGTTCTAATGAACCTAACCATTAGGCCATTGGATTGCTCCATATCGTCTGGATGAAAGCCGGGCTCCTTGTAACATCGGACATATATGATGTCACAAGAGCTTCCTTGGTCAATCAGGATACGTTTCACTTGGCACTCCCCAATCCGGAGGGATGCTACCAAAGCATCATTATGCGGGTGCTGGACCATCTCGAGGTCGGCTTCAGTAAAAGACACTACTGGTCCCAAGCACTCATCTGCCCAATGTCTCTTGTCCCCGACTTGGTAGACATGTTGCAGATGCTTCACCTTCTGAGTCTCCCCCCTAATTTCGTTTTCGTTGACCCTCGAGTGAATTACATTAATTACCCGAGGTCCTCCTGCCTGAGGTTGCTGTGCTGGGGGAGGCAGAACTGTTGGCGCCTGACGCAGTTTTGCCTGTTCTGGTCTCATCGACGAGGTCCCTTCAGATGGTCTTGCCTCATCAGATCTTCTAAGTGAGCATTTAGTGCTTTGCAGCCCTGAGTCATATGTCCGTCTTCAGCATACACCTTTAGCTGTGCAATCTTCCTCGAGGTATAATACCTCGGTTGTACCCATTAATCGGTTTATCTCGGCTTTGACCTAACACTTTGAAAATATTTATCATAATATTTCCACAAGTGTTATTTTATAACTTGATACTTCACTTTTTAGCAAGACTTCTGTCTTCAATTTCCTTCCATGTCTTGGAAATATGGTAATCTCGGCGAGTATGTAGATACTTCTTTCAACATAACATTGGTTTAACTTGTAAATTTTTGCTCAAAAAATTTCAACAAGTATTTAACCATAGTCTTCAACTTGTAAACTCTTCTCAAGTTTCAACAAGTGTTTGAGCATCTTCTCGGTTTAACCTAACTTGTAAACTTTTCTCATGTTTTAACATCATCTCAGCTTAACTTCGGTTAAGCATCATCTCGGTTTAACTTCGGTTAAACATCATCTCAGCTTAACTTCGGTTAAGCATCATCTCGGGTTAACTTCGGTTAACCATTATCTCGGCTTAACTTCGGTTAAGAATCATCTGGGCTTAACTTTGGTTAAGCATCATTTGGGCTTAACTTCGGTTAAGTATCATCTCGGGTTAACTTCGGTTAACCATTATCTCGGCTTGACTTCGGTTAAGAATCATCTCGACTTAACTTCGGTTAAGCATTATCTCGGCTTAACTTCGGTTAAGAATCATCTCGGCTTAACTTCGGTTAAGCATCATCTCGGTTTAACTTCGGTTAAACGTCATTTGGGCTTAACTTCGGTTAAGAATCATCTCGGCTTAACTTTGGTTAAGCATCATCTCGGTTTAACTTCGGTTAAACATCATCTGGGCTTAACTTCGGTTAAGAATCATCTCGGCTTAACTTCGGTTTAAGCATCATCTCGGTTTAACTTCGGTTAAACATCATCTGGGCTTAACTTCGGTTAACCATTATCTCGGCTTAACTTCGGTTAAGAATCATTTGGGCTTAACTTCGGTTAAGTATCATCTCGGCTTAACTTCGGTTAAGCATCATCTCGGTTTAACTTCGGTTAAGCATCATCTCGGTTTAACTTCGGTTAAGCATCATCTCAGCTTAACTTCGGTTAAGCATCATCTCGGGTTAACTTCGGTTAACCCTCACCTCAGTTTTTGAAGTTTTTCCTTTTTTGTCGCTTGTACTCTTGTACCTTTTTGTTTTTTTTAGACAATGTAAGCTCTGCATATGGCCGATGTGCCTCCTTGTTCTTGAATGTCTAATGCAACTTTCCTTCTCTGAATGCTTGTGCCTTTGTCTTTTCTTTACTGCCTTTGCATGATCCTATACTTAAAATATTTTGCGTGTCTTTAGTATGCTCTTCCTTCTTTGTGCAACCTTCTCGGG